CCCCCCTCGCCGGCGCAGCCGAGCGGCTATTGCATATTCCGGTGTGTTGGCGCAGAGGATGCATCGGTATTACCAACTGGAAGACGTTTCCGAGGGGGAAAATTGGTTAAAAAAGAATAATAATAGAGAGAAAAGGGACTTTTCCGGCCGAGAAGAAGCCATGCAGGAGGCGAGGGGGGGGCAGCCGCCCCCAGCCCCCCCGGCCCCCCGGGAGCCCCGGGCATGCAGCGACTCCCTCGCACTGATATCGGGTCCGGTAATACTTAGTCTTCGAAGGCAAGGCACATCATGTGGTATAAAATTTCGTGCAAATTAGGAAAACATGGATTTTTTTTTTTTTTCTTGTGTGTTTTTTTTTTTTTACGGCTTTTTTTTTCTTTTATACAGAATTTTTTTTTTTTTTTTCCTCTTTTTTTTTTCTCTTTTGCTGAAGGGGGAAGGTAGAGCCGGTTAATACAGTCTGCCATGCACAGCATCAGCCATCCGCGGCTGGGTTGAGCCAGGTCACCAGATCCTGTTAAAGCACCATGCAGTTTATTTGTCTTTTTTTTTTTTTTGTCTTTTTCTTTTTTTTCATGTGTTTCTTTTCTCAGATCTTTTTAAAAAAACAGGTTTCCTTCTCCGCCAAGCGCTTTTTTTTTTTTTTTTTTTTCCTTTTTTTTGTGGGTTTTCTCCGTTTCTTGTCCTTTTTGATTACTTTTTCTCTCCCGGGATTTCCTGCGTCAGCCCTTTCCCCGGTGCCACGCCGCGGGCGCGCAGGATCCGGCCTCGCTGTGCTGTCCCGGGGGGTGGGAAGCGGGGTGGAGCGGGGGGCCGGTGGGATGGGGGATGCGATGTCGGTGGTCCACGGGCCGGCTCTGGGTGCCAGGGGAGGGGGCCAGGCCGGTGGTGGTGGTGGCTTCGGTGACGTCCCCTGCTCCCGGACATCCCACGGTGGCTTCTCTCCGTCATCACCTGTGGGGTGTCCCCTGGGGCGTGGGCTCCCTGGGGTCCCTTTGGGGACACGCCTGGGACCCGTCTCCTCTGTGGCCGCCACCATCTCGCTGGAGACGCCGGGTGCCTTCGTCATCTTCCTCCTCCTCCTCGCCTCGGCTGCTGCGTGGGTCCCTCTGCTCTAAGGCACTGCCACGTCCCCGCGTCCCCTTCCCGGCCACGCCGCCATCGCGTGGGACGGGGACGGCCAGGCGCTTCCTCCAGCGCTGTTCCCCGCCGGGGCCTCCGCCGGGGGTCCCGGGACCCCTCCCCGCCGCAGTTCAGGCACTTGACGCGGGGCCGGGGGCTCCGTGGGGCTGGCTCTGCCCTCGCCCTCGCTCGGGCTCCTTTTCTCCATCCTTTTGTATTAAAAAAAAAAAAAAAAAAAAAAAACCAAAAAACCCCAAACCAGCCATCCCGGCAAGCCAGTGCCAGGGGCTCCGTCTCCTCCTCCTCCTCCTCTTTCTCCTCCTCCTCCTCCTTTTTTGTGATTTTTTTTTTCTTCTTCTTTTTCTTATTTTTTTTTGACGATTCCCTCTTAAAAGTGCATTTCCTACAAAATGTGCAACACGAGCGCACCCTCTCCTCGCCATCCACCTGGAACCTGTCCACAGGAATGCATAGCTCAGACACACGGACGCACACCCCACCACAGCCCCACGGAACCCCCGGCGCGGGGACACAGGGACACACATGGGGACACGTGGGGATGGGGCTGGTGGACGCCGGCGGGCAAGGAAGGCATTGCAGAGAGACGGCGACCGATGCCCGGGCTCGACGGTGGCAGCCTGGGTCCCACCAGGACCGTGGTGGGAGCGTGCCCACGCCATGTCCCCGAGGGAATTGGGGTGCCACCGCCACCGCGACCGTCTCCAGCTGTGCCCATGCACCCTCCGTGGCCCAAAGCCCCCTCCTCCTGTGACAACCGCTCGTGCCAAGCCGAGCCGGCCACCGTGCCACCTGGCCATCATGCCACCGTGTCACTGTGCCACCACGCCACTGCGTCACCGCATCACCGTGTCACCGCATCACCACTGTCACCGTGTCACCGCAGCACAGTATCGCCCATCCCCGAGGCGCTTTCACGGCACAGAGCATCACATCGTCCCAACGGCAAGCGTGGCCGCGTCCGTTGGGAACCGGCGGCAGGAGGTGTCGTTCCCCCCCCCTGCCGTGCCCCACCCCGGCCCCGGGGCCCCCCCGAGAGTCTGCGTGGGGCCG